AGTTCTAAGTTTTAAACCATTATTTAAATTCTACACCAAAGCATAAATGGCTTGAACACAGTAATAATCTGTTAGTTGTAGTCAGGATCATTAGAAACTAATTATAGAAAATTCTGAACCGCCTGACGTCTAATATTAATTTAGAGAAACTAGCATTCATTTTAATTTATCAAGATTCTAAAATTTACAAATATAATGCCAATAATGATAACATAGTCATTTCTTTCTTTCTGTTCCGTTGTTATCAGAAGTACAGTTTTCATGATTATATATAAAGGTTGAACCCCAACCTAGAGGGCTCCCATCGTCCCACGGTTACATACATATTTATTAGAAGTGGACTATATTCTTGCGAAACTTGCATGCACACAGGATCATTGACAAATAATATATATGAGTGAGTTAAGAGTCATCATTCCACAGGGAAAAAATTTAATTCAAGTGTACTAATTTTGTACAAAATTAGAATTATGTAACACAAAAAGATTTTTTGATTTGATTTATACTAAAATTAATCTAAAAATGCTATAAAAGTTTGATTTTTATCAAATTATAGATGATATTTGATTTATTTTTTATCAAATTAGGGATAATTTGTATCGAATTTCGAATCCACCTATTATTATCTATTTCAATTCTACATTTATATTCTAATCTTATTCATGCGTTATTGACAATCGATAGAGCTATGATATATAATTTTCTTTTTTCAAAACAAATTGAATCTATCCTAACTATGACTCGAAAATATTCTTAACTCAAACTCGAATAATTAGAATGCATCAAATTTTAGATTATCTACATGATTGAACACGTGATAAATATTATTTCTAACATCTATTGCACATATGTTAATTTAGCCACATTTTAAATTTATTGTGAATCTCTAACACTACATCAAGCAAGTGATTATCTAATTAATGGTTAAACAATTAAATAAATCTAATGCGTTTGCAAAATTAATCAAGAAACACAAGAAATACTAAATTACTAGTTTTGAATTAAAATAAATAAATAAATAAATAAATAAGGTTCATATTCATCTAATACAAAATGAATCTAGTCGAATTTTATAAAAATTACAAAAAGAATAATAGAAAATATAATTGAATCATGAAAGAATGCAAAATGTGTTGATCTTCAAGTCCAAAGTTGAAATATTCAATTTCTTGATATAATTGACCTTGAATTCTTGCTAAGGTTTGACTTTCTCTCTCAAAAGTGGTGAACAGACATTTTGTTCTTGATGAATTTTATGACACTATTGCATCTCTAGAGGCTAAAGAGAGTTTCCCAATATTTTTACCAAGTTTTATATTTAATTCAAATGTTGGAACTAATAAAATCTTTATCCATCAATGAATTAATATGATACATCACCA